AATCTTTAATACCTTAAATCATAGGTCTAATAACAATAATTATCTTTTAATAAGTTCAATTAGTATGCCTAGTGCATTTCAAACAAATTAAATAGTCTTATAACAAAGTAAATAGATTAAATAGTCTAGTATTGACACAGTAAATAAAATTAACAATCGCATAAAGTATTGGGTGCTAAGACATTGACAACAAATACATAACCTCTAAATCGCAATTAATTAGTAAATTAAAGCAATAACAAAACAATATGGCGTCGACTCAAAAAGAGTAATTTTTGCCGAAAGAGAGGAAGAAGAAAGTGCAGTCAACCACCACTCAACAGCTCGATAGGTGTTGAGTAGTTTTGGTTGTACAAGTCCACCGTCAATCGTTTCAAAAATACGAAACGATTGGAAATAGAATGACTCGACGGTCAACTCAACAGTCAACCATTTCAAAAATAGGGCCCCAGAACTCCAATCAGCTGTTGGTTGTTTGCAAGTTCATAATTTCAACAGCTGATTCATTGTCGAACTTCATAACTGTACTGAGATTGAGGTTATGTCTTCAATCTTAGTGATTGCAAAAGTACCTTAACTTATAAAATGAACTTAAGTATTAAAAATAAAATTTACTATGGATGTTTGTTTTAGGGTGTAGCTAATTATAAGTTTAGGCATATCCTAAATACATTATTATTTGCTTTCTTCGTCTCTATTTCGAAACACATCACCTTATTTTAGTTTCCTTCATCGGTTTGCTTGATGTTATTTTAATTGTGTTTTTATTTAGGGTAAAGGTTAAAGCGGCTATTTGCCATTGCACTGAAAGCGTATCGTAACTTAAATTAATTTGATACCTTTATTAGGTGAATGGTATTGAAACAAACTATGATATTGTTACCACAATCTTTAATACCTTAAATCATAGGTCTAATAACAATAATTATCTTTTAATAAGTTCAATTAGTATGCCTAGTGCATTTCAAACAAATTAAATAGTCTTATAACAAAGTAAATAGATTAAATAGTCTAGTATTGACACAGTAAATAAAATTAACAATCGCATAAAGTATTGGGTGCTAAGACATTGACAACAAATACATAACCTCTAAATCGCAATTAATTAGTAAATTAAAGCAATAACAAAACAATATGGCGTCGACTCAAAAAGAGTAATTTTTGCCGAAAGAGAGGAAGAAGAAAGTGCAGTCAACCACCACTCAACAGCTCGATAGGTGTTGAGTAGTTTTGGTTGTACAAGTCCACCGTCAATCGTTTCAAAAATACGAAACGATTGGAAATAGAATGACTCGACGGTCAACTCAACAGTCAACCATTTCAAAAATAGGGCCCCAGAACTCCAATCAGCTGTTGGTTGTTTGCAAGTTCATAATTTCAACAGCTGATTCATTGTCGAACTTCATACTGTACAGTTTGGGAAATAATCCTGTGACAACAGGCAGAGCTACCGGTCTCCAAATTAACAGTTCCTGTTATGTTTAATTTGTGATAAGCTCATATTGTGCGTAGGTAAAATGTGATGTACGTGATTGAGCTAGTTGTTGGTTCAGATATTTGGTTGTACTATTTTAAAGTGAGTCGGTGGCAAAGAAAACTATTATTGCAGTAATACAGTGTTGTCATGGCGGACGAGGAAAAAGGTATGTCGAACGGTGTTTACAAATATTTGTTGAACCTTTTTTATAATATTGTTTATCATCGTAATGCTGCACATGAAATTGTAACGAATGTCCTATTATTTGCTTCATACAATATTGGTTAAGAATACTCACTATTGCTCTATGGAATCACGCTATTTTAGCCCAGTGGTCATAACCGTACAGTTTCTACAATTGAAGTTTTCTGTTGTTTGTTTTGGACCCGGACCAATTTACTTTTTCGTTTTGTTGTACCCAAAGGCCAAAAACCACAATCCGTTCAAATTCATATATTTGTAGCTCAACAATTCGTTTGTAATTTTTTATGACATTTAGTACAAACGTGTAAACATGCGTTTATTCTAACGAGTTCGCGAACTATAGCATAATCGGGCCATGGAACGAGGTTTTATGGGGGATTTATGGGGTAAAGATTGAGTTTTCTCACTTTTGACCCCGAAAACATAGAATTTCCCAATTTCTCACTATACAATTTAATAGAGCTTAACCCTCCAACTGTCAGAACGACCATAATAGTCGTGGTAGGTGGTTTCTGTAGTAGTAACGACTATACAGGGTGTTTGGTAGGCCTACGTAGTGTGAAAATTTTCAGCCGGTAAAACTACATGGAAAATGCAGAAAAATTATGTAAATTAAATGTCTTAATTCCTTTCAGAATGGGAGCCATTTTACATTTTTTCAGAAAAACATGTTTTTAGCTTTGTTTTTTTTTTTGGCAAAATATCTACAAAAAATTAAAATTTTTCCAAATATAACACCATTTTCAAAATCGATGTAAAATTTTAAATAAGATATAATATGTTTTGTTTTTCTGGTTGTTAAATAATTTGTAATGCAGCTCGAATGAATTTAAATATTTCGATTCGCAAGAAAATAGTAAAAACAAAAAGCTGCCTAGATCTAAAAAACTGTATGACCTAGAGAGTGTCAAATGTTACAAAAACTTGCCCATTTAATGAGGATTCCAACGATACCAAACAACCTTGGAAATGCATAGGGAAAGTGTGGATAGTCAAATGAATAATGTTGAAAAACACGATTGACCTAAAACGCTTTCTCTGGTATTTTACAAAGTTTTTCACACTAAACAAAATTATTTATTGATTAAAACAAAGAAACATAATGAGTTCAGAAAAATATTTATTTTTATTTTATAAGAGTTTTTCACACAAAAATACTTTTTTATTTAAGAAAAACAAACACTCATGATTAAAGAAACCTTTTTCATCCACTTCAAAATAATCAAAGTTTATGTTCAAACTGCCTACCGCCGTTCCGAATGCACATTCTTGATCTTTTCCTCATTTCTCCAACAGTTACTTTGAAAGAAGTTTTTTGTCTTAATTTTGCCACACCTGCTGGTATTCTGACTCTTAGCTCTTGTTCAGACTGAATGGGCGTAGAATAGACTTCGTTTTTAAGAAAGCCCCAAACAAAAAATCCATTGGGGTGAGGTCAGGTGACCTAGGGGGCCAAGCGACCGGCCCACCTCGTCCAATCCACGTAGGGTAGTTCTGGCTTAGCCAATCCCTCACTTCTGTGTCACTTGCGTTAGGTGGAGCACCATCATGTTGAAATATAATTGTATTTCTTTGCTCGACATCAAATTCATCTAAAAGAGTCGGAAGAGTGTGCTGTAGAAAATGAAAATATCTGTCACTGTTCAACGTTTCCTAAAAAATGAAGGGACCTATCAGTTGGTCTCCAAGCAGACCTGCCCAGACATTTACTCGAAAGCGTCTTTGAAATGACTGTTCCTTTGTCGCCCTTGGGTTTTCTTCGGACCATTGGTGCATATTATGGCAGTTAAAAGATCCTTCTCTCGTGAACAAAGACTCGTCGGTCCACAAAATCTTTTAAAAAAAAACTGTACTGTTCCATGTCACTGTTCAGCAGCCATCGGCAAAATTGAACTCGACGATCAAAATCAGTTTCTTCCAAAGCTTGTACAGGAGTAAAATGAAAGGGGTGCATTTTATCTTTGTGTAAAATATCCCACACTTTCCAATTAGACACTCCGATTTCTCTGGAGACCTCTCTAGTACTAGTTTCCGGATTGCCACGAACAATATCCAAGACTAATTCTTCTACGCCCACATCATGTAAAACAGGACCTACCTCAGAGAGTTTTTTTTTTTAACCGTGCCACTCTCCACAAGCCGCTGGTGCAATCTTGTAAAGACTGATGAGCTAGGGATTCGTCGGTCCGGGTATCGGGCTTCGTAATCTCTTCTTGCAGCAAGTGCGTTACCATTACAATAACCGTAGATAAAATGCATCTCTGCATATTCTTGACACAAGAAATCCATGATGGCCAAGACACAACCACAACAGGTAAACTGACCAAACTGAATGTAGAAATCATGTTTGAATTTATTGTTTGAATTATTTTGATAAGGGCTTAGCTTTCTCCTATGCAGTAAATAAAACTGCATTCACTACTGATAAGGAAAAGAGAACAAGATAAGATTTTCAAACACTGATAATTTGAATATTTTCAGATTGAAATCTACAATTAAGTGAAACAGATATAAGATATTATGATAGAAAGGAAGGTGTATCTCTACAAAAAAATATTCTATAAGCTATTAATTTATAAAAGACGGGAGAAAGCATTTTAGGTCAACCGTGTTTTTCAACATTATTCATTTGACTATCCACACTTTCCCTATGCATTTCCAAGGTTGTTTGGTATCGTTGGAATCCTCATCATTTCACAAAACGCCAAACACGGTATGTTTAAAAAAATCATAAAAAAGTAAATCGTAAAAGTTTTTCAACGAGTTAAACTATTTCGGCAATGATACGAAATAACCATTTTATCCACAATATATTCCAAAGTGTGAATAAAAACATCACACTATAAACACAGTAAATTATTCAAATAAGCAACGTAAGCATTACAAATATAATTTATTTGACACAACTCTGTGTTTATATCTATTGAGAGTTGTACGTTGAAATTAAACATTTGAGTTCTGGCACTAGGTTCAAGACTAGTTTCTTTTCCGATCCACCCTTCAAAAACATATTATACATTTTGTTTTCTAATGACGTTTTTTTTAACACCTGGAAACACCGTGGTGATAAAATAACAGCACTGTTTTAATTTGCGGTTTTGAAATAAGTCGTCAACAGTCAACAATGGATCAGCTGTTTGTTACATTGTTGTCATGCACAACAAGATCATTTAAGTTTGTACACTGATCTGCTGTAATACCTGTACAATACTGAAGTGTGAGTGTGATATTCCAGCTGTGTGCGCGGGTGATGGTGAGTGTGCGTGCGGAGGTGCCGAGATAGTCGTAGTCTCGGCCGCGTCAGTATCACCGCGTTCTTGCTGTAGCTAGGACCGTGTCGTGTTGCCGTGTCGTCGCAACGTCGTGTCTCGTGTAGACAACACGCATCTGTACACGTCCATGGAGTCTTCTACTAACATCACTGATTGATAAAGGTGCACTTTTATTAAACTTTTTTGTTATGTGTGTTTACGTAATTTGATACTAGTATAACCATTTTTTAACTTAGTTATACAGTAACATCATAATTAATTGTGTGTAAACGTTTAGTAACTTAACTAGCTACAAATATATTAAAAAATCGAGATAAAATTAAACCAACACTTCTCATTCCGAAAAAAGCATAAAAGCAGAAAATTGGTAATACAAACAACGAATAGTTTGATTCAATAAGTAAAAGCTTATTGTTAGTGTGTGGAGTGGAACTGGCTAAAAAAAAGAGTTTTATGTTTTAAATTACAATATTATATTTCACATTAAATTATAACATGACTTGGAATTCGACGCTTTGAAATTTGTATTAAGGGTGCTAAAACGACAGCATTGCAAATATAGGCTAATCAAGTTGCTATCAATCTGTGGTTATTGCTACATGCTATGCGTTTAATTTGAAACTAATATTTTAGCATGGCGCTAACACCGAAGTTAGTTTTTGTTACCCAGGCAGGTAAACAATAAGTAGATAGGTAGTGGAAACGATAAGACAATCAGTCAACACAATCGGTTTACAATCAATCAAATGTAAAAGTACAAAAATATTTGAAGGTATAAGCTATTAATACATTATCATACACTACAAGTTAGTGTTGTTTTAGATCGAACATTTGCAATAATAACACAATAAATCACCTAAAAAGATTTGTAAATTGGCTAAAATTGTACGACCGATCACTTGACATTAATATGCTACGCGTTTTAATATTATGTAGTTAACACATTTATTTTGCGCTGTTTCAGGAACCCATCCATTCTGTAGAATGTTATTTTATTGGAAACGTTGACTATTAGATGTTTCAGATACATAAAAATACATCATTAATATTTTATTGTTATGAATGAAAAGTTTATACAGTATTGAGGATCTTGCTTAATTTTGATGAATCTAATTGTTAATGTAATGTATGATGCTATCAATTAGTATCTAGTATTCACTTTGAAGAGTATTTAATAATGATATGAAAAATGCAGTACTGTATTGGAAAGAACGTAGCTTTTTAATCCATACCAAAAAAATACTTTAAAACCCCAAGCGTCAAGAAAAAGTTGTGGTAGGGATAATATATATTTGACTACGACTACGATATTTGAATCATAGATTGAAAAAAGTCTACACATTGCAGAGTTTTGAGTGAACATAATTTTACCAAGTTTCCATATAAGATGTTTTGTGTTTTTTAGTAAAATGATATTTTAAACCGTATACAATCTTTATCTGCTTGCTTTGAAAATTTAAAACACTTCTGACACAGGATTGCCAAAAGAATAATTAACCTGGATGGTATAATTTATCAACCAAACAAATTTTGTGGGTTCATAAACCAACAAGATATGATAAAGCATGTGATGATGAGAATTTCTGGTACTGTAATAATATATCTACAAGATCTATCCAACAAAAGACAATTTAAATTACGTTTCTTTTGAGTATTAAATTTAATGGTTAAAATTTGAGTCTTTCAAAATAATAAGAAACTAGGGAGACAAAAATTAGGTAAAGTTTCCAATTTATATTTCAATCAGCTCTTTGGTGAAAATTATTAATAACGATTTGTACATAAATATGATTCAATCATTGTAAGACGACTGTAAATTGTAAACAAAACAACTGTACCCATTAAAAACTATAAAATATTACGGAATGTTTTAAATTAAACCAAATTTGGGACTATTTATATTATATCTCAATAATATTTCAAATGATATTGAAAAAGGGTCCGAGTATGGGTCGGGGTAGCGAAAAAAGTAAAACAATCAGAAACAAGCAAACTTAGCTTATAAGTAGTGCTAATTTCTTACAGCTGTAAAACAGTACCGTAATACGAACCAATGAACAAACACTTTATTCATTGTCTGGAAAAACTAAAATGAAGAATACATCAATTCCCCGTGACTGAGTGTGCCAATGTAAAATACAGCTTTCCTTTAGGTACATACCATCTTCAATCACGCCAAACTGAAATGGAAATTCTGGTTTATAATAACTTATATGTCATCATTAACCATAGTATGAATAATACAAGACAAAATGCAACTTCTTTCATAGCACACTCTGAAGATATACCATTCGTTTTAGTTTTATTTGGGCTTCAGCTAGTCTGTAATGCCAACTTTTTCTATGTGAATTCCAGAAAAAGCATTTTGAAAGTAACCTTTTTATTTAAGTCGGGGTTTGAATTTGTGTAAATGCCTAATTCCACAGGTAAACTCTTGGATTTTCTACAAATGTCGCACTGATGTATATTCGAGTCGGTATTTTAAAATAGAAAATATTACAATTTAACCTAAACCTCGTTAAAATATAACACGGTGTTAAAAGAATAATATAATCAACATAAACCAATCACAAGCTGTTGTTTATCAACAGTTTCAGTGATTTTCAGTGAGTCGGTGGCTTAGTCGGTAGCGTCGCGGACTTCGGGCCCAAGGCAGTAGTGTCGTGGGTTCGGATCCTGGTCACTGCCGATAACATTTTATCAGTACAGTTCACCTTTGTACTGTACCGGCTCACTCCTTGCTTTGCTGTAAACGATCCACGCACGGGCGCTTAGTCTATGTGGACGGGCAAATGCAAGGTTAAAAGAGGCCGCCAACCTCTTTAAAAAAAAAAAAAAAACATTAATTCTGTTTGACACAAAAGGATATGGATTATAATGGTTACTGTAATAATGATCAACTGTTTACTATCGTGTGACGGTTATTTATTGCATTAGTTTGTAAACACTGTTTGATGTATGCGATGTAATTTTACCACATACATAGTTAGATGCTACTATTTTGTAATTAAATGAGTGAACACTCACAACTATTTTAAATTGATTCTGAATAAGCTTAGTTAAGACCTAATGCGATACTGGGACTGCAAGGGACAGTGCTGGAATTACTGTAAGTTTCTGTGTAAGCCTTCCTAAGCAAAGCTTTAGCAACTTAATTAAAGCTTAGCTGTAATCAGTCTATGAGTTGTGCTTATCTATTGCATATAGCTTGTTAAACTAGTTATTGGTGATAGTAATATATTCGGGTTTGTTTAATTATATATATTTATATGTATTTTAAACTTAAATTCAACTTTTTATTTTAATTACGATGGTAATACTATTTCATATAATCATTCAGCATTTACTTGACTAAAAACTGGAAATACAAAAAAGAGATTTTATTTTTATTACGTATTAAAATTTGGAACAATGGAGCAAACTTAAATCATTTCAGTCTTGTTGGGCAAGTTTCACTTTGAGGTCTTTAGAATCCAATTACTAAGGAATTAACGCTTAACCACTCTTAGTGATTTGTATATTCTATAATTAGAATGACAAAATAATGATTTTACACTGTCAATAATTCATTTACAGTAATCATATTGGCTAATAAACACACATTTGTCAACATTTTTTTAATTTTAAAAGTTAAACACGTTTAACAGCTAAACCTTTTATGAGTATAATTTGCATAGTAAATCATAAAAGCGCAATAGTAAATTGTTAATTACCTGTTGCAATGACATCAAGTTCAAAGATTAAAATATGTCATTGTTCAAACTTTGCTTCTTTATAATGACGCTTAAACAAAACAATTAATTATCATGATCCACACATTTCACCGATAACATTTTTATTTTTCTAAAAATGCAGCCCAATCATTGTAAAGAATTTTTCATTTAACTTTCTAATTTTTGCTTGGTAGTAATAAATATGAAAATATTATAACATTCGGTGGCTGATAATCAGCAATGAATACAAATCAGTTCATTATATCGTAATTTGGAAACAAAATTATATTTGAAATATATCAAAAATACTGGTAACAAAAGTGTTTAGTAAAATTAAAATTTTTTTGAACATTCTTTAATATTCTATTAAAAAAGTTTTTGGCGTGATTAATACGCATTTTATACGTGGAGATGTTTGTGTGCGGTCGTTTACGTCAGCAATGATAGGCTAGATTAAAAACCATTGAGATACGCTGAAAACGCTTCAATGAAACGAACTTTGGAGGGCCTCGTTTGATCAATAGAGGTGATTAGCTCATAGAAAACACACATAACGCCCTTCAATGTTTTTCATCCAACTTGTCAATAGTTAATTGTATTATTGGCCCTTTAACAGTCAGTAAATAAAAACATTTAAAAAATATTAAAAATAACTTATAAGTATTTACGATATGTCTGTATAGAAAACATCTCATATGAGGTGATTTTAAACAGTCCAACGTCATCCAAACTCGTTACTAGTACATTGAAGCAATGTTAAATACTTTATAACAAATGGATACATGTGATTATCAAGTATCGAATTAGTAAATAAAAAACAACTTTGCACCCTGAAATGAAGATAAAGTGACATGTTTCGGAACTTCGTACATTTTCAAACTTCAACAATTAGCAAATATTTATTTTTTTACTATTAATAATCAATAGCCAACAAATTTCCAAATCCTGTCTCAAAATTCATCTGTAAAATCAAATTATATTGACACAAAACAAATTATGTAAACGCATTTTTGTAGGATGTTGACATTTTACTTAAGATAGTGATACTGTAGTTGAAAAACTATACGTTATTGGCAACAATTACTTCATGAACACTGAAAAGTAAAAATCTTTTGGCTATTATGTCATCTACCCTCTTGTGCATTCAACAATACCAAATTGGCTTAGTATTCGATTAATCGTTTTCAACTTAATTTAGTTTACGTGTAAAAAAATACTGGTTTGAATCGCCTAGGGGTTTAAAATTATTTTGATACTTTTACAAGTAGGAAACGTCATTTTTTTAACACATACTCAATAGAGCAACTATAAATCTGTTAAGTATGCATGATTGCTGTGACGGGGGTATTTAATCGAACAAATCTTCATCCAAGTGTACACAGTTCGGTGAACAAATCTTGTAGACAATCAGTAAGTGATTGGTTTGATCGGAGTTAATCATATGAAGAGTCCCTTGCTACTCAATCTAACTAACAATCCAACTAGGAATTCTTTCCCTGACTCGTTACGAATCTTCCAATCCTTCACTAAAGTTTTGAAATAAAACGAATGTAAAGTAAGGCATTCAACTCAAATATTATCTGACATTTTTAAAGATGTTAAAATTTTTATTCGTCCATCATAAAATACAGTTAATTATTTTATTTGAATGCTCAAATAAATATCCCTGTTCGGTATTCATATTTTTAGAGTATTTAGAAATTAATCATTATGTTAATTAAGTCACTGGTTAATTAATCTTGCTAATGTGTATATAAATCACCACATTTATTGTAATATTATTTAGTCTCAGTAACAATTTATTGTAAATAGACTCCCGCTTTCAATATTCAAATGAGATTGCTAAGCCTGCTCGAATTTCCCGCCACAGTAAGGCCTATTTTCCTGTACTACATACCCATGAATCACCTGACGCCGTGTTTGCTTCAATCGCATTTCCTATTGGCCATCGAATTCCTAGACCCCTCTAAACCGCAATTGCATTTTTCAAAGTGTGAAGCCGGCGATCGGCGTCTGTCTGTCCACGGTCGGCGTCCATAACTCACGGTGTATTCCGTTTCTCGTATCTCGGGACATTAATTGCCCATTTTACCTCTCTTAAACGTATTTTTAGGCTATAGATTAATTATATCTGGCCTCCCTCTCCTCTATAGTACATTTAACTATATATACATTTTAATTTCCCCCTTTTGTTTGTGATTAAATTACTTAAATTGTGATCTAGTGCTTTCAGACTCTTCAAACCTCAAGACAGTGTGTGCGCGTCCGTGTATTACTTCTAGACTTTCCGTACGTTTTCACCGTGACTTCCGCGTATTAGTGAGCTCTTTGTGATTATGAACTTGGGTGCGTTGCGTACTCCAAAATTCTACAAAACAGAAGCACTCGGTCTAAGGACTCCGCCATCCGCCATCGCTCCACCATAGACGACGCCGCTGCCATACTCTCCACCTTTGGACAATTGGACTCAAGGTACAACCTTAAAGTTTTGTGTGTGTTTTAATTAGACTCTAAAACTAATCTCATTTGCCCCTCACAAGACATTTTATTCCATCTCGGGACCTCAGTGCCCTTCAAATTGCAGATTCGCCATTTTCTCTAATTTAATTATTTTTCTCTTGAACTATTAATTAGTTCTGGTCCTTCGAGTTATTAATTATTTTCATTTTCACCCATTACGCCCCCAACAATCCCCTTGTTGATTGATTGATTGGGTTTAGCTTTGAATATTTTAATACTTCAGATTTCACATGTCAATTAAATTATTATACTGTGTTTCTTAATAGTTTAATAATAATTAATAATAAGCGGCCCTTAATAATTTGATTCGTCGAAAAATGTTAACTCGCCATAAACAATATACTAACACAACCAAAGTCTACTTACACAAACCGTAATAGAAATGGCTTCATGGTACCAATCCGAATCTTTCACTTAACAATTCACAGATTGTGCTCATCATAATAAATTATTCTAGGAGGTCGCCCTTCCCCAATTATGCTGGGCGAGTCTCTGGCAATGATAGGCTCATTTACAACAGCTGACTGCCATTTTCTGCAGGAAGTATGCAGATTCACTAGTTAACTCTCGATTGTAAACACATTGCTAACCAGCCAGCAGTATTTTATATTATATTTATTGTATTAAATATAATACTCCAATTTTTTGTGGCCGTATATAGATAATATAAAATTATGCATTTGTAAGAGGATTTGCTTTGTGTTTAACAGAGTAGTGTTAACAACGTTTTTTGGGTCCAATCAAAGCTAATCGTGTACTATCACATCTAACCTTAGGTTGTAACTTTAATTATTTCGAAAAACAATTAGATCAGTCGAGAAGCGTGTTCAAAGCTAAAATTAGGTAATGGGATTTAAGGCGGATTGTGGGTTGCTAGTGTGAAAAAGGAAAATTGGAAATGTAGCCCATGTTGTTGGAATAGTCTTCTGGGATTCATCAGGACTAACGAAAAGAGACGTAGGATAAAATGGAACAATGTACCACAATCGAGTTATCTCGACGCAGACAGAAGGACTTCTTTCGCTTAAACATCAACGTGTATTGCTTTGTCAATACACGCTTTCAATTCATGTCAACCATTGTGGCTAATAATGTATTTTAGTCAGTAGTTTTATAAATAACAACTTAACAATATTGTTCAATCTATTTTGTTTGAAGATGCTCATTAATGTTCAATCACAGAAACATTTACTTCTCTGTGGTTTTATATTGAATGTTTTGTTTTCATATGAAATGCTATATCTCCATGTATATTTGCACAAAATTTTCACATGTATGACTCATCATAGTTTAAAAACATCATCAATGTGTGATGTCAAGTAATCATATATTTTATACTGATAGGTGCATTGGAAACCCGCTTGTATAATTTTTGAAACCGGTTTTGTTATTTATAGTAGGATGGTTATTATAAAGCATCTTATTACTTTGAGTTCCAAAATAAAGCCTTTTAGTATTTGGTAATCAATATTTTTGGTGATTGCCATCCATATCTAGATTTAAGCTGGTAGAATAAACAGTATTGTCTATTTGTTTGTGTTAAGGTAAAAAAAAACTTATTTCACAACATCAAATAAAGATCATAATAACAATTGAAAAATCTTCCACATGCCTATTTGTTACTCGTAACTTTTTACGTGAGAACAACTCAATTTAAAGTGATGGATTAAATTTGCTTACAACGTCTGTTAACTGTCAGATATCCCGGTAGTCCACGGACGTAAGACTAATTTAAGTAATTTGGGTATATTTAACATACATAATCTATTCGGTTGTTAACCAAACGTAACTCTCTTAATTGACATATATTTGTCTTCATTTATCAGACTTGTAACGAAATACACGTTTAAAATAGCCCAGAACGAATGTAAAATATTACGTATACGGCCACTTTACCTTCAGTTTTAATAATCTTTTGACCCGTTGAAGAATGCTTAACTGGTTTACGTATTACGTTTGTAGCACTATGTATTTGAATAGATTGTTTCAAGTATTGTCATTCATCCCAACTTAATTCAACATGCGTGTCAATTAATTCACCACCACGTGGTAAAGAGCTTATATATCCACATCCTGGTGAAAACAAACATCGGCTTGGCAAACCGATATGTTCAAATCCTCCCATTTTTGGTTATGCATGAGCCGATGTATGGTTTCCATTTTCGGTTGAAATACTTCAAACACTCGTGTCAGGGTTGGGCTTTTGTTTGAAACTGAAACCCTTTGGTTTGGAAACAATTATATGAATTTTCTGTATGATTTAGAACTTCGAAATTTTGGAAGAAATAGTTAGTTAGTTAGTACACGAGTTTCCACAGGCGTCTTCCAAGATTTATTTAGAAGTTCAGACCACTGCACATTTTAATTTAAATTGAGTCCACAGTTTTGAAAGCCTTATAATGCAAAGAATGGTATTTAAATTTTAATCATGAGTCATATACATAATCTTAATACAAAAATTAATTTGATAGTTAGTTATGTACGGTTTTAAAAATATTAAAAGGATAAAGCAGATACATAACAAGGGTACAGAAATAATTTAAATCGTGTTCTATAAACTAAATTCCTCTCAATGTTCGGTATAAAATAAATGAAAACCCAGGAGAAAATATCTATCGTTGAGATTTGATGTTGTTATCTTTCTCAACGACGCGACCCAACGACTCAATCGTGTTTGGTTGAGAAGCGATAAAAACAACTAGCCTAATTGTGTAAGTCGTCAATCGTACAATTCAGGTCACAAAAGTCTCATCTTTATTTGGGTAGAACGATAAAATGGACTAATAAACGTTGAAAGCAAAATTTCAAAAATTTAAAAGTTTATTTAGACAAGTTACACGATTGCTGCTACAAAGAGCGTATTTTATCACAACATGGAATATGTACAGGGCGTATAAATAAAAAGTCTGGGACCCCATGTTTAGAAATTCTAAACCAAATTTAGAAATGCATTAATAAGAAATGATAAAGGTGAACTTTTTCTCTGTCCATCGCCCTAAAACTTAAATCTACCTTAAATAACACAAAATTGTTGAAAGTTACTGTCAAAGAAGAACAGCGAAGACTAGAAGTGTCTATTCTCTATTTAATTTCAATAAGCTTTGTATTTATTAAACATATTTAACTTAGTATCAACGTACATATCTGTTATTGTATTATAAATATATAATCTACAGTAAGATGAGGTTGTGGTATTAGAGCTTTAAAGTTTTAATTAATATATAACCTAATTCTTAATAGGTTTGATGAATTACATCAAATTACCAAATTTCACCCAATAACAATCTTTTATATAGAATGGGGTTTATACTTACTAATAGCTTATATAGAGATTGCTGGTCTGCCTAATCTAGCGTATTAGGGCCCAAATCAGGTCCTTCTCATATGAAGGAACTGCATAACTATATGATACCCGTATAATTAACCTAAGGGTCGAACAGGGGTTTAAGTTGATGAACATACTAATCAGAAGTCGGAGGTGATGTAGTTAGAATATTAGTTTAGCGCACCCAATCCTTCTGTTCTGAAAGTTTATTTATAACACTTTCTTTAATTTTAATTTTCGAAAATACAATTTTTCTTCAGCCTTTGGTCATTATTGATGTTCCAAATTCGATTTTCGAATCTTTAGGACACTTCCAAAATTATATTTACGTTAGAAACTCATTATATTTTAATAATAAAAAAATAGGTAACAAAAATTTTTATTTCTGAGGAAACTTCGGACGATTATAAATTATAAATCACTAATTTAATAGAAAAAATTGTTTAAAATATGGCCTGATGTGACGTGATACTCTAGTGCTATTTAACTAGTAATTAATTAGTTTTGCATAATGTTTTATAGTAAATCCTTTAAATAATTAGTTTTAATGCAGTTCGAAGCCAGCGTCATATAAAATCCTTCTCAATGCCATGACAAAATAGAACCTTTTGACTCACCGCAAATACATTAAATTTACCTCGAACTACCAATAATATCAATAAACAAGCGAAACCATGTGACTAATTTTTACCGTCTGAAATTCGAATTGCTACTTATAGATCAACATTTTGGAAGCTACAGAAATGTTTCACACGATGTTGATATTAGACCCCAATGTTGTTGTTATCAGTCGGCCTGTTAGAAAGCATAATTGGCAGCCCAATGTTTATGATAGACCAAACATTCTTTGCCTTAATGGATTGCTGTTTATATTATTGCCAATAACATTCATCCAGCCATATAAGTTGACAACAATTTTCATATCCAAGACAGATAAGTAATTGTTGGTTCTTTTTGTTTATTTTGGTTCTTAAGGAAATTTTTAATTTCTTAGAATTTTAAAGACGATACGTCACATAGATCAGTTTGCCAACCCAAATAAATCTCGTATTTATTTTGGTTATACACGAGCCCTTGTATTGTTTCCATCCTTATAAAAGTTGAAATTTTTTAAGCCAACAGTAGGTAGTTTTCGAGCTCTTGCTCGAAAAAGAAGTAATGAAAAGAAGGAACTCACGGAATTCGGAATATATACTTTCCTTAACGGCGTTAAAACTAACGAGAACATAACAACGAGAAAATATTTGTAAATAATAATCGTTTATATACAAATATGTTTGCGTTATTTTTAACGCCCTTAAGGACAGTATTTATTCCGAATTCCGTGAATTCCTTCTTTTACGAACGTAAAATCAATCACAAACATGAATAAACGATTGATCTTACTGAGACTAGTAGCATATAGACCAAACGATGTAAATGACTTAAGACCAGTATTGGTTTATTAGCCAATTTTTAATTGCAATAATTCCACTACTTTAAAATATTATATAACTGGCTAGTCCTACAGGCTTAACATGAAAAAGGTATGTATAAACAATATTTTACATTTCAAACCAAAATGTGTATGTTAAGATTGGTTACTGACATTCGCAATAATTGTATTCTTTCGACCGAATAACTAAGT